GGTTAACATCGACCAGACTACACAGCGCAACAACCCAGAAGACAGATATCTTCATACTCACCGCTGTGAGAACCTCAAGTCTTACAATCTTTGGGTATATTCTCACTAATAATGTTCACTGATATTTCAAAAGAAATTATATAAATATGATCATGCATTATCCACGTAAACTTAAGCTTCAAAGTGATATAAAACATTACCATTATTTTTATCAACAACCCTTTACCCTGGCATCGGGTAAACTGAACACAAAAAACAGTGTGGAGAAAATATTAACACTAAAGATGGTCGTATTCTGTGTTGTTGCGCCGTGAAATCTGGTACGTTTTCCGACGTTTCAGACGTTCCTACTCCTCCCTTCAGCATGGTGATGATCACCCTAATAATAGAGGTAGCATCTACCACCGAAACGTCGTTAAACTACACGGCGCAACGACTCAGAAGACAGCAATCTTTGTTCTCGCTTACATGAACACTTCACGTACGCACGTACACACATGCCTAAGGATAAACTTAGTCTGTATACGGAGATGCTTTAGCTTCATAGAGTGAGTTAAGCGGATATATTTAACGTCACACAGAGTTTAGTGGATTTTCCAAACTGTCGTTTCTCGTAGTTGTGAAGACCCGATAAGAAGAAGTATGTTTCGAGTGGGCTTTGCCTGTCAATACCGGGGATGATATGTCACTCAGGGAACGTGGGACAGAGACGGAAGGCCTCCTGTGGGATTCAGTTTTCCCGTACACACATGGAGTCAGACCTAGCGAACAGGAACTGCGTCCGATAAAACAAAATTTATTATCCCGCTAAAGTATGAAGCTTACTCGTATTACAATATTGATCTCCTGCTTCAACCGTCTTTGTGAATGAGGCAACTTCGCACCTCTAGTGCAGCATCTACCTTCCTCTTTTACTCGTCCTGAAGTTTCATGACCCGAGGCAGATTTAGACCACCTTTCCTCACCCATCCCGTCTATAGGGTCTTTTTATCTGTAAGGAATGTATTGTCTGGGACTGCATTACTGACTAAGTTTTTTCATATTTCAACATTCCTTCTTTCTCTAATGGTGCATATACTCTAAGTTAGTGACAGCGTCGTTATATAAAATACCAAAACAAAACATCTAATCATGTAGACGACTGAACTATAACTTCTAAATTTCTGCTGCGTCCAACATTTTTAATCTCCGTCTTTTGCATCCATATCACATTGCCTTATTTTAACGCTGATTTAAGCAACATTTTATATTATATGATACAG